ATTCCAGTTGCAAACCGCTCTTCATTGACAGCTGTGCTGCTTTTAGAAAACACTTTGTGGTTCCAAAATTTAATGTTTCCAACTGTGGCAGCCATTCAAAAGGAGCTGCAGAGAACTGCAAATTCATTCCAAGCTGGGTTGGAGCCAGCTAGGCAAGAGTGACATGTACAACAAGTTTTAGTCAGCTTTACAAGGAGGCTCAGTCCTGCATTCCTCTATGCTTGTGCTTATGGCTCAAATTCACTTACCTTTTTCATCAACATCCCCTTCCAGCAGCTCCCATGCAGACCACAGCTGTGCTGCAGCAAGTAGGGAGAGAAAGGAGGCATAGGGATAAATCCTGTATACAGGATGGACTGATTGAAGCTCAGTAAGCTGCAGAAGGTGGAGAGCAGCAATGATACATGCTATAAATAAATAAATAATGTCCAGGTCTACTTCATGGTCTCAGCTTCATGGTTTGACTGGAGTGGGCACCAGGCACACAGGTGCTGCAGCACACTCTGCAGGTTACTTGGGTGCGAAGATGACAATGCCCTTCTCCTCCCCACCCCTGCCCTATGGCAAGGTTCAGCACCCCAAATGGGTGCTGGCCCAAGCCATTCTGTTGTAGCCGCAGCAACCAGTGGAGGATGGAGAAAGGGGAACAGGACACAGATGAAAGCTAGGGCTGCGTATCCTCGTGGCTATTGTACTCAAAGCAGAAATGGTGACCTCTGTGATAATTCACAGGGAATATTTATCATTATCTTTCCAGTTGAAATATGTTTCAATACTAAATTGTTGGTGATAAATATTCCGGAAATGCCCGTGATATAGGCAAATTGCTTACCAAAACCTAGTTTCTCTTAAGTAAGCCAAGGAGAGTTTTGCCATTCATTTCAGTGAGGTTGTTTCACCCTGAAAACTTACCTAGATAATGTCCTGTGTTGAGAACACCCCTAAATAATTACAGATGAACCTATTAAGTTTGTGTGTAAGTTTTTTTTCTGAGCTAGACTTAGTGTTTTTAAGCACTCTATTGTTCTATTCACAGATTTAAAGCAAAATTACCAAGGGTTAAGTTGAGGTTACAAACAGCAGTAGCTAAATAAATCTTGTTGCCATGATTTCCAACCAACACAGAGTTCCAGAACTGGAAAAGTTACAGTTAATGTCAAGGCACTGACATAAGGAAAGCTGTGTATTTTTACTTGTGTGTAGTTACAGTTACATGCAGCAGGTTTCACAACAAATCAAGAATACCATGTCCCTCAGTGCTCCCTTTCCTCTCGTCTCTGCTATTTCAGTTCAGAAGAAGCCTAATTTTTCATGCTGGCAAAGCATGAAAAAAGTACTGGAAAACAATGGGATAGTTCTAAGGCTTTCAGAGTGCCAAACACTGCATTGTACAGACAATATTTATAGCCATGAAGAAAATTAGATTTTCATAAACCCCTGGTGCTGAATTTAGTCACAAAGAAAGGAAATCCCTGTAAGAAACTGAAAATCTGTTCTATATTTAGAATCAACCTAATAGGATAATGTGGCTATGGTTTACTATTCTTCAGATTGATGGAGTCTTGCATTGTTTCCCTGCAAAGGCTAAGATTCTTAAATAAGTCTGATCTTGCTGCTTTTGCAAATAAGCTGTGTTAAGGTCAAGGAAAACAGCTTCCACTTTCATCTTTTAGTAATTCATTACCTTATGTAGGTCTAATGCTTCTCTGAGGAGGCTGTTAGGGGATTCTCTACTTTCTGTGTTTTAAAGGGTGTTATGTTTTTAGTCCTATAGAGGTCACAGCCATGCTGTAGTGAGAACACTCATCTTCAAACAGTACTATCTGACTTGCCCTAGCTGTTTATCCCCAAATCCCATTTTAGGAGAAATCCTGAGAGCTTTGTATAATAGCACCATGCAGCAATGCTCTAACCAGGTGCAGAGGATAAAATGAACTCAGCCTGGGAGTTTCAGGATAGCCTGGCTGTTGTCCTTGTTTTAAACTGACCTCAATATTTCCACCTGCAGATAATACAGGAGATATTAAATGAAATGTTTAAGTGTTGGTGTCAAATTTTCAAAAAGTGTCCATCTCCTACCTTTTTTTTGTTTTGTTTTAAATCTGCTAGATTATTGCCATCTCTAAGTGTGAAGATGGGAAAGCAGGAATCTGAAATCTGTCAGCTGTTCAACAAGATGCTTGTGAGAAAAAAAAAATGCAAGTACCAGAAAGCTGGCTTTTGGGGAGGTGGTTGCTGGGCAGGGGGAAGTATGCACTTGTTGCTAGCAAGCAAAGAGAAGCCACAGACTTGGGTGCTCCTGCATTGGGGTGCTTCCACATCAGGGGCTGGAGCACACCCCAGTGCTAAGTAGATTTCATTCCTACAGAGATTTCATTCCCACAGTAGATTTCATTCCCACAGAGATGGAGTGTGCCAGACCTGCATCTCTAGGACCAGGAATCAGATACCTCAGCAATTTCAAAGTGTCCCAGGGATATCCAGTTAAGGAGGAGTGAAATGCTGGTGCTGGCACACCAGTTAGGTCCCCAACACAAGGACATGTACACCAAGATCTCAGTATTTGCTCATGAGCCATTTCTCTGCTGTAGAAACCATCATTTTTAAAATAACTTGTCTCTTTATTAATTAAATAACAAGGGAGAAATAATGTATCATAAAAATATTAATATTTCTGATAACTTTAACTTGATAGAAACCTTTGCTTCTTTTTGTAATTTCTTCTTGCTCAGTTAGTATTCAAAGGCTCTATTATAGAATTGTTCAAGCCACTGCTTGTAATACAGCATACTAATATATTCATTTTCTCTTTCTAGCAGCAGTTTTCCATTCCAATTTCCTTAATCTGACTTCTGCAAGATTTATTCTGATGATAAAATGCCCTCCTCTTTCATATAATCTAATTCATTTATGACTTTTAAAATTCATATCTTCATATTAAATATGCTGGCAAGTTTGCTAATGTCACATTGGTCCCTTCCCCCTCTGGTTTTCAGGAACCAGTCTGAACAGAGGCGTCTTTATAATCCCTTCTCTTTTGGCAGTTTTAATTTAATCTAAACCTTTTGTAAGAGAATGTTTTGGAACAATATTTTTTTTTTCACACTTGAGCCTCCAACACACAGCATGATCTTAATTATTGTAAGCTGCATGTTTTGTAGCAGTTCTTGTGCCAGTTTGTAGTACATACCTGTAAGACTCTTCGTACAGTATCTCAAAGTTAAGTGGGCCAACAAAGTTTTCTCGGTGCTAAATAGAGAACAATAAGAACAATAGCTATGTTCAAGGTCCAAAGGTGCCATAAGCTGCTGATCTCCACGATATGTCACAGATTTTGATTTCTGCATCAGTCCTGCTGTTGCACTAGTTTATCTTTCAAAAAGATGCTCATTTTTGACATTAGAAGGTTACAATTTCAAAAGGCAAACAAGCAACAGCCTCTGGAAAGTTACTTTATTGGGTGCACTATTTCTAAACTTATTTATTGTTTAAATTTATCCAGTTTTGACTTCTAATCCTTAAATCTTATTTATTAAAAGATTAAATCATTATGGAGTTTATGGGCCTGCTTGAAAGGTCCTTAGATAATCTTAGGACCTTTCAAGCAGGCCCATAAACTCCCATCACCACCTCTTGATGACTATTTGATCCACAGGATACCTACATTCATACAGCCTCTTTCTCCCTGACCCAAAGCTCTTTTCTCCAAGTGCAGTTCTGCTGCAGGTCCCTGGGGACTAGTGTAGATCCGCTGCATGTAAGTGCACCACAGTGGCAGGGTAAGGCCCCCTCTTTAGCAAAAGATCATTTTACTTACTTATTTTAAAGGATGGCCAAGAGAGGAAATGGCTGCAAATATGCTGCCCGTCCTTTACACGGTATTTGAGATACAAGAAGCACATCACCCTGAAGAGGAAAACCTGGGTTCATAGCCTTCCTTGGTCTGAACAAGTTAAACCTTGCTGGTTCACTTCTTGTGACAATACCCTGCCTCCCCTTCTTGGGCCCTGAAGCCAGAAGGGGGCTGGTGTTTGAGTGTCAGTGGTTAAGCAAATACTCCCTCTTAGAAAAGTCAGATTTGCATTATAGTCCCAAGACACATGAACTGTTAATGAACTCACCGTTCCCTTGGCCTCACGGTCACTTCTGAAAGAAAACATCTGCACATAGGTTTAGTTCTTAGCAGGGAAGAGGAGAGGATAAATAGCTGCAATCAGGATGTTCTGGTCTCAAGGTCCTGTGTTGGTAGTCTTTGGTGTTTTCTACTGTCTTTCTCCAACCAATGTATGGCCTGGTCTGCATCCCATTTGGGACTTCTCACTGTCCCCAGGTAGCACTGAGGAAAGGCAGGCACCTCTCTCTCTCTGTGCCTGGGGCAGACATTAGACATGCACAATTGGAGCTGGCTGCAAGCCCTGTCCTGGTTGACTGCTACACCTCTTCTTCGTGTATGTAATGCTTACAGGGCACAGTCCAGGTAATTTTTAACCTTTTAGGCAAACTCAGAACATTGAGGTTTGATATCATGTCACTTAACACATTTTCCAAAACTTGAACACTTTTTGGCTCATTTTGTGGAATCTTCCTCATGTTCCAACACCTTTGTAGTAATGGCGTCTCAGATTATGCATGCAGATGTGCGAGTACCCTCACCCCCTCTGATATCCTGCTTGTGTATTCATGGATTTCACTGATTACCCCAAATACAGTATTTGATTAGAAGTTTTAAGCAATCATTTATCACTTTTTTAGGTTCATTTCATACCAGAATGCAATAGAACTGTTTTGAGACCAATAATATCTAGACCGATTACAACTTCTGCAGAAGGTGTGGGCTCATTAAAAAGAAGGAAGATTTTATATGGGTTTAGAAGCCAGCTCATGCTAGTCATTGAATTAGCTCCACATGTGCCCCAGGAAATTGGTTTGAGAATTGGGATGGCCAGTGGCAGGCAAGGGATCGATACAGCTAAAGAAAGCGCATGAGCCACTTCAGATAATATGTTCCAAGTTCCTCCCCAGGTCTTTTGCCTTTTATTCTCCAATTCAGGTATTACATTGCCACTGGTTTCCACCAGGATTGTGCATGCACCTTGACATGATCACAGAAGTTCCACAGTACAGAGTTTCACAACTGGGACAGGTCCCTACAATTGGGACACCAGGGTGACAAAACAGATTTTGGAGAATTTTTCACTGAATAAGATGGAGAGAACATAATTACCACATCATACCACTACAATGCCTCATAAACATAGAATAGACTAGATCCATTTACCACAAAAATCACAGAAAGTAGCTGATCAATGAATATATCTTTTATGTAAAATATACATTTTTAAGATATAATTTTAATACATCTTTTATATTTATTGACGTTGGGTTTGCAACACTTTGAATTAAAAAAAAAAAATAGTCTTGCTGCCAGAATTTTATTTCTCATAATACTTATAGTCTGAGGTAACAATGAAAGGAGACTGTGTGCTGTGAACAAAGTCAGTGATGTTTGTCTGCAGTCACATTTCTCTTATCAAAGTGAAAAGAAAACTTAGGACTTGGCATATACACTAGAATTCATACAAATATAGATCATGGCAAACTGAGAAAGCGAGGACTTATGCAAACCTACTCTGTTCATTTTTGTGACCTTTGCAAAATATACCTTTGTTATGACAGAATTTAAGACAGATGTAGTTTACATCACTATCATTATTAAGTGTGTGTCTTTGTATGATTCACAGCACAACTTACTGCAGGAACCAGGAATAATATGCATCAGGGTGTGGGTCTTTGCATGGAGTCTTAGCAATGATTACTTGAATTCAGCTTTCTTTGATATAGATAAAAACTGATATTCCATGCACACACGTTTTATTTACAGCTGACTCATCAACAGTGACTAGTCACCCCTTCCTCTGGCAGCAGTAATTATGAGCAGTCGTTAATCTTCTTTATCAAACTCTACTTCCCAAGTAAAGTCTCAGTGACCTCCTCAAGGTGTGAGCTGTTTATCAGGGCCCATTCAGCAGCAGCAGTCTCTTTCCAGTACAGTCCTTGGTATGGCTAAATTCCATTGTCCCTTTTTCAGCAGTCAAAAATCCATGATAAATTCTGTACAACACTGTAGTTAATATAACAGCAGCACCAAATATTATATTAATTCCTTTGCTAAAAGCTTTTTTTTGCAGTTATCTCTCTATTGACAATATTTTACCAAAACTAAATCAATGTACATCTCTAAATATCAGAAATGTATACTTTGATAAATACATTATTGTACAAGAATTCTGACATGCAAGTCATGCTATTGGGCTAGCCTATATACAGAAGAGCATGTTACATGGTCAACAATAAGTTATAATTCTTGTCCTAACAAAAAATAAAACATGACAGTCAGGGATTATTCAACAATCTCAAGGATCTCTTAAGATCTGTGTAGTTACAGACTTCCCTACCCTATGAAATTCTAAACTTATGTATTTTAGGGTAATTGTTCCTCACCAGCCCAGAACATCAAAACTGCTATTGCATTTGTTCCGTTGCATAAATACAGGTTTATATGGAATGAAAAAACCACTAGAGGAGATACAGTTTCAGAACTGTAATGGATACTGGTTGCTAGGTGGAGGATTGATGCAATAGGCAACCGGTCAAAATTGTAAAATTGTTACTAAATCCCACTCAAAAAATCTTCAGAGTGCTCACTCTGAGTTAGTCTATATAACACTAACTTGCACTTGAAAAATATATTTATGTATTTATACACATACATATAGTTGATATGAAAAAAAAAAAAATAGAGAAAAGGAGAAAAGTGTCTTAGCCTTAAAAGAGGGGGCATTTTAAACAGTATCTGTGCTTTATGGAGACAGATGGAGAATACAGTAGACAAGTTGCAAAACAGACAGACAAACAACACATAGGACAAAGCACCTCAAAAAACATTGACTGAAGAATTTTTAAATGCTCATGAGCCAGAGGTATAAGTCTGGTCAAAAACCCCACTTGAGAGCTACTCTTACAGTGGAACAAAAAAGCCCCCAGTTATCTTCTCGATTTTGCTTGGTACTCAGCCTCTGAAAATGTTGAAGAACCCTGGAGTAGAGAAATGACTACAGTACCAAGCAGCACTTGCTAGCTTAAAATTGCAAGTCTGGATGGCGTTTACCTTTCTTGCATGTTTTGTGCCTTCCCCAAGCCATTAAGAAAGAGATCTGGCTTCTGCTTGCGTGTAACCAGTAATGACAACCTCTTTGCAGTTATCTGTGTGCAAACAACCGGAGACATTCAGAACTCTGATACAGTAATCCAGTACCAAAGTAAGTTAATCACAAAATAAGACCATTTATAAACAAGTAGATCGTTAAAAAATAAAAGAGAAGGTTAAACAAAGAAAAACAATCCCACATGCAGACCAGTTTATCAGTGCTTTCATTTCAGCAGGATGGTACATGGAGAGTACACACATCCAGAGGCCTCTGTGGTCTCCGTGATCGGCAACACTGCTTGTCAGGTAATGGAGACAGGATGGTCCATGCAAATGAGCAGACCCAAGTCACATAGTGCGCAACCAAGACACGATTCCAGACATCTTCAGAATGGATTAGAGTCACAAGAAATGGAGGTTCAATGGGGTGACAGATAATTATTTGGAAGCACATTATTTTAAGTAAATTTCCCTGAAAAACTGCTTATTTATTGAATATACTGGCCAATGGCATCCACTAACTGTCCTTTTATTGCCACAGGAAAGTAGGACAATAAAGTAGATGAAAGAAGAAGTGCTACTTTAGATGATCTTTTAAAGCCAAGATAAAAATCTTCAGCTACCCAAGTGGCATTTCTTACTACTGACAGTTATATCATGCAGGATTTATACCATATTTGTGGAGCCTATGGTTAATGCTACATTTATATCCAATATGTGGTAAACAGTATTTGAATTAATACTATATAGCCGATTGATGCCATCTGGTTTACAAGATAGAAGGGATGGGAGACCGAGAGCGCCTTAGAGGACAAGGTGAGCTGTAGGGTGATGTTACTGGAGACAGTCGCAGAGCATTGCCTGTCAAGCCAGCTATGTTGTTTAAGCTTCGAGATTTTTCGTAGCCTTGTATGAGAAAATGCACAGACATCAGTTGAATTCAGCCAAAAAAAAAAAAAAAAAAAAAAATAGACAAAGACAAACAATACAATGTAGTGTAATCCAAGGAGCTATCTGGGACTCAGAGGGAATCTGCCTGCAAAAGAACTCAATGCAGAGAAACAGTACTGCCAAAATATATTAACAAATAAAATACTTTATGAATTAATGCAGCTATTCTTTCCCAGGAAATTAAACAGAACACCACGTGAAAGGTCTGGCCTTTTCTTTCCCATCCCCATGTGCACTTTGTGCCACTCTATTGGCGTCATCAGGGTTGCACAGAGCGTAAGATAAAAGATCCCAACAGAGTTTTTGGGTGAGCTATCTGACTAAGCATAATCAAAAACCCGTTAAGACAGACTATAAAAACTGTTAGAATGATATAACCTCTGTTAAATCCAATTCCTAATAAAGGAAGAATTTTCTCTAAAAATAAAATATTATTTAAAGAAAAGAAAAACATGCATAAATTAATTGTAAGTCATTTCTGCAGAGCATTGAATGATATGATGGGAAAGAAGCTCCATTTTCATAAATGTTAACCCTAAGACGTAAACTATAAGATAGCAGAGTTTGACATATTTTCAAATGCTTCCAGATTGGTAAATTTAAGTCACCAAATTTGTGTTCCTTCTTCAGCCAACTGATACAAAATAAATGGTGTTAATCCACAAAAGCAACTAGTGAAGAATTAATCTTTAAATAAGGCAAAAACATGATGCTTCACAATTTGGAGAGAACATTGCACTTGCAGACATTTCTGTTAACACACACTGTGAGCTGTAGCTACCTAGTTCTTGCTACATATACATTGTTCTCACCTTGTAGAGTCTGTGCAAAATACTGTTAAAGCATTGCTTTGCTCTGTCTCACTATCTTCATACTCAAATATTTTCAACAGTGCCTGAATAATTCTGCCTATGAAGAAAAGGATCATTGCATTAGTCTGGAAAGAGATACCAGAAGGGAGTATAAAATGAAGATCAAGCTGGCTGGAATGTTGCTCCTAAAGTATGCATACACATTTCACTGCAAGCAGGAGAAGTTCCATTGATTTCAGTGGCACAACCTATTTCTTTAAAAATTAGTACGCACCTAAGCATTTGCCAGGTAAAACATTCAAGTGTTATTGTCTACTGTGAGCTGCTGTGAAATACTGAGACTTTTCCCACAGAAATTATACAATGTCAGTGACAGTGCATCTAAGCATTACATGGGATGTCAACAGACTTTTTAATTTTTTCTAATTGAAACAGTTACTAGTTCAAATTCCAAATCTCCATATAACAGACCACAAGCAATTAACATCTTCAGGAAAAATTATATCTTAGGCTCTACCCAGAATAGATACTCTTTACGGAAGCATTGTACCTCGGTTTTTGTTTGTACAGGTCCCAAGCTATTGAGAGCCATGGTGAAAAAAAATATGTAGTAATAATAATAATAATAATAATAATAATAATAATAATAATAATATTTTCTTACTTACTGAAAATTGCATACTGTAAAACTGAATTTAAAACACATGTATAACCTCATGTCTGCTAAAACACTGTGCAGTGTTATCTCCAGATTGCAAGGGCAGGCTGAACTGTGTTGCTTGACAGACTTCTGATACATTTCAAATCCAGCCTCCTGTTTCTGAGTATTTACACAGATTAGAAAGAATCATGTTTGAAAGCAGAACAGAAGGAACACTCAATGCTAATATATATATGTAACCTCCCATTTAAATTTAATGCTTACAAAACAATTCAAAAGAATAACGTAGGTTTTTTACACAGAAACTAGGATTAATTGTTTGAACAACATGTGTATATTGTTCTGGATACTTCTCTAATGATAATAGAAAAGAACTGATAGAGGAAGGTGGTAAAGATGGCAAAGAAAACAGGAACCCATAAAGAATGAAAACCAGAAATACAAGATGAATAAACATAGAGGCATAATCCAAAATCAGTGACTTCCAGGTAGATCAGTGGGGTTTGGATCAGCTCTGAATCACCAATGCAGAAAAGCTCAGAATAAATGATCATTGAACACAACCAAGAACCAGACGAGGAATAAACCAAACAAGAAGGATATACAAAAAGAGAGAAAGGGAAAAATAGAACAAAATTAAAAACTAGTAGACTTAACGAGTGATTAAATTCAAGAATTCAAAAATTCAAATATGCTACTTATAAGCTAGCTTCCCTACTCTGTAGTTATCACTACAGACTGTCAAAGAGCACATTTCTTATTGAGAAAATGTCATTTCTGAACTCAAGCCCTGTTTTTTTGATAGAAACTCTTAAATGATTAATTTTTCCTTGAATCTAGATTTTGAAATGAAAATATTCATGTATTCCTATATAAAATATGTTTTATTGCTATATGGATATGTCATTAGTACTAACAGGCAATTTCTTCCATTATTTCTGTTCCATTCTAAGTACAGTTACAGCCAAGTTAACAGCACTCCAATGCTTATACTAACATTTCTAAAAGAAGTCAAGAACTTAATCTTGCAAGATGCCATGGCATTCTGCATTATATGTTTTTTTTGACCTCCCCAAAAGACAGGACCCTTACTGTTAGAGAAATTGTAAATAATCCTAGTTGTGAAGGAGACCATGCAAAGTCCTAAATCTGTGTGCAGAAAATTTTTTGTTACCAAGTCCTATTTAATCTGAATGTTATTTACAGGAATATGTACAATGTAGGAGCATAGAGACAATCATTTTCTTTACAAATTCTACACTTATCCCATTCTAGCTGTATGTCTGCCTTCACAAGTTTAACCTACTGAGCTCATGCTTTTGAAACATAAAAAAAAAGCATTTGCAGAATAACCAAGAGAATTGCTTCAGGGTCTTCGATTCGGCTGGCTGGAACAACTACAATTGCAATAGACAAAGCTAATTAAAAAAAAAAATCTCAGCCAAAGATGTTTGTTCAGTGCCACATGGCTACTGCAGATGGTGAACTCTGACACGAATGATCGCACACCAAGGATCAGGAATGAGAGAACTGTTAGAATATTACAGTTTGCCAAGAAAAAAAAAAAAAAAGCAATTTTTAACCAAACAAAAACAAAAACAAAAAAACACCGCTAGCATTGCTGATTTTGGGGTTATACCCTGAGGTTAGCTTTCCAGCCACAGATAGTTATGTCCTGATCAGATGGCCATGCCACTGGTCACATGGTGATACATAATTCTGTAAGGTTTTGCAGACTCTGCCAGGGGAACCCAACCCCAGAATAGGGTTGAGGAGGCTAAATAACTTGTAAGACATTTTTATTACCTTGCAAGATCAAGACTTGCTTACTGGAGTTGAATTCTGGTTGGGGTAGACAGTCACATTTTAGCATTAGTAGTGCTAACTCTTCTTTAGTGGTGCTAACTCTTCTTTAGTTTAGCATTAGTGGTGCTAACTCTTCTTTGATAGAAATCTAAATAGCATCTCATTGATAGGTTTTGTTGTGTTCAGAACAAAAACGTTGTTTACTTCTAGTATCTTAATCTTTTAAATGTAATTTGTTCAGCTGTAATTTTTATTAGGTTATTAAGTGTGGACCAAAGTTATTAAAATAATTATTTTGTCTTTTAGAATGAGAAATGGTATCAAGTGATGAATGGTTGAATGAGCAAGGACTGAATTGCAGGGTTTTCTATAAAAGGTAACAGACAAATGAAGACATAAGTGAAATGAGGATCCAACATCAAGCACTTTTTGTGAAGACTAAAGGAAATTAGTGTTTTTAAAAGAAAAACAAGGAAAGAATGGCTAGGAATAAAGAAAAAAAATACATCGTGGTACAATCTTTCCTCTAAGAGCATTGTGCACATCATTTTACTCTAAGCTTGCTTTTCACAAGCACATTGCTGAGTGATCTTTATGATCTAATGAAAGAAGTCCATACCTTTCCTGATCCCTCCATCAGTAGCACACGTGTAATCACCTGTTGTCAGTAGGAAACATGTTCCCCCTCTTCTGTTTTTGTCTCTGGTACTAGAGCGTCTGATGGGAGGGAGCCTTTCACCAGGTGAGAGTGGCTGCTCACTTCCTGCACTGTCTTCACCTGATAACACTGGTTAAAGCACCATGCCCATTTACAGACAATAATGAATGAGGAAATGAGACATCACAAAGAGCTTATGTTGAATGCCAGATATTCCCATCACTCAAAAAGTAGTTATAAGGTAAATCATTAGAAAACAAGATTGCAGTTCATCATTCATCAGTACAAAATGGCAAAAAAAAAAAAAAAAAATTTTTATTCAAGAGCAAGTCATCTTTTGACTTTTGATCTTTTTGACTTTCTTTTAAGTCTCATAAAAGATTTTACTAAACCATTAAATAAGAAATAAGCAACACAAGGCTCAATTAGTTGCCTGATAAAGACTGTAAGTATAGTCAGTCTTGGATATTTATAAATGGTTTTACTATTTTGGCTACCCTTTTTATTAAATTAGAGGTCATGCTAATCATTTTTTCCTAGAATATGTTGTTTAGCATATTTTAAAGACAACCCCTCCCCCAGAAGGGTTAAATTATCCACATTTTACACTAAAACCTGTTTAATCACACACACAGTTTTCATTTCTGCACTTGCTATCATTCTTGCACAGCTTGTCATCATTTATATCCAACATTAAATGCTGGTTTTGGCCTGTGTATTTTGTCAAACACTGAAATTCTTACCTCTTCTGATTTGAGACTCCCAAAGGACTATTTTCAAAAATTATCTACTATTTTAGATTCAGGCCACACTTCAAGAAAAAAAAAAAAAATCTCTGCTAGTACGGCACATAACAGGTAATGGCATGTTTTTTACTTCAGCTTTACCTTTGCATTTAAACCTGAGCATGTGCTTTTCTGAACTGGCAATGCCAAGGGTGATGCCATTCAGCCTTGGTTTTGTGCAAAATTCCTGATGATTCTAATAGCATTCTCTACCAGAAACAAAGTTAGAGCATCTAGTGTGAGTGCTGGCACTACCAAGGAAAAAGTTAACACTTTAAAATTGCTCCTTTTTTGCATATCTGCTTTCTGTCTAACTTTAAGGATTATAACACCTTGTAAATAAAGCTGCAGACACACAAAAGTGTCTCTTTGCTCTGATCACACCAAGCCTCCTCCATTCCGGAATACCTTTGGCGGGACCTGATGGCATGAAAAAGCTGTTACCATTATCACTTTAAAGATGTTGTCTGAAAGTGTGTATCAGTCAAAGCACTGTAAAACTAACTATATTCCACCCTTGATGTGAGACCTTTCAAGGGTTTCCAACCTCCTTAATATATTTAGGACATCTAAAAGGCATGTTAAATTTGTGAACACTCACTCGGAGACTGAAACCGAGCTTCTTTGAAGATAAATGCTATTCAGTAACAGAGCAACAGAACAAAGAAGGATATTGTTCAGAGACCGATTTTCCAGGCTCTTCTTTCTAAAAAATAAATTTCAGTTACTGAATGACACCAGTCACAGTTTTGTGTGTTGTTTTTTTTCTTCTCTCTTATTAACATTTAGCAACTTTCCAACAGGAGCATAATGACTGGTCTGTGAGTTTTATAATCAGATTATGTATTGCTTAAGAATAAATACATTCAAGAAATAAACAAACAAAAATCCCTGCTGCTAAAATAAAATAAAATAAAATAAAATAAAATAAAAAGTCTTTTAATTATACTGACATAAAATTTCCTCTTTAGTTTGAAGAAATATGGAATTTTGGGCAGTAGCTTAGAGGGGCAGAGGCTGCCTTTTGATATGTGTTTTCACAGCAATTAGCCCAATATACTCCTCATTCAGCATTTGGAACTCTGAGAGATAAGGTAATATAAATCATAAAAAATCAACACTAATATCGATGTTGTGAGGGACTGCCACTTTCGTTTTTCCAAACAAACTCTACATCAGCTTTACAATTATAATCCAATTAATGGTAAATATCATGCAATATCTCATCTAATTCAGATGGAGTTTCTTCTAGCCAGGAAAGCAGAATGCCAAATGGAAAGAAAGCTAGAAAGAGAATTTCTCCTTATTTCCTTTGAGTGCTGGGCTTTTGATGTAAAGCACCTGCTCCTTTTAAATGACTGCTTCTTTGTAGGATCTTGCTTAACAGGCCACGATGTGGCACAGGCAAAGCTGACACGAGAGACAGACACTGAGGCAAAACACCATGGAGTCCAACAGGGTGGGACACGGTGGCTGCTCAAATAGTCACAGTCATGCAGAAAAACAAGAAACATCCATACAACGCAACAAACAACAGGCAAAAGAAAAGGTTGATATCATCAGCAGGAAAGCATTCTCAACAGAGCAAGCAAAACTGTATAGACCAGCTACATAGAGGTTTGGGAATGTTGCTCTAACTATTTTGTCCTCTATGAGACTGACACACGCAAACACTGGAGGGGAGAAGGGTGGGAGCTATGTTTTCTCCTGGCAGAAAGGCTGGCAGCTTTCTGACCCCTACCAAACATACTGGTCTATAAAGTGTTTTCAGAGAACATGCATCTCCAGTGGGGTCCTACCTGATGATCTGTTGTGCTCCATCAACTGGTTGTCCTTGCCAAGGCAGATGTCCCCTTGTGTGCTATTACAGGCCATGTTCAAGTCCGTCTTGCAGAAGGTAGGAGAACTAGCTTGAGGAGCTGGAGGGATGTGCTTCTTCCTCTTCCTTGGCAGTTTCTGCTTTGCCATGGCCAGGGAGTAGTACATCCCAAAATTGTTAACAATCACAGGCACAGGCATGGCTATAGTAAGCACCCCTGCCAATGCACATAGGGCTCCCACTAGCATGCCTGACCAAGTCCGTGGATACATATCCCCATACCCCAGGGTGGTCATGGTTACTACAGCCCACCAGAAGCCAATAGGGATATTTTTGAACTGTGTGTGCTCACTTGCTGATGGGTCATTGGGCTGAGCTCCCACCCGCTCTGCGTAGTAGATCATGGTGGCGAATATCAAAACACCGAGTGCCAAGAATATTATCAGCAGCAAAAATTCGTTGGTGCTGGCTCTCAGAGTGTGGCCCAGTACCCTGAGGCCCACAAAGTGCCGTGTGAGCTTGAAGATTCGCAGGATTCTCACAAACCTTACCACCCTGAGGAAACCAAGTACATCCTTAGCAGCTTTGGAGGAAAGCCCACTCAGGCCCACTTCTAGGTAAAAGGGCAGGATGGCCACAAAGTCAATGATATTCAAGAGGTTTTTGATGAATTCAAGTTTGTTGGGGGAAAAAACAACACGCACTAAAAATTCAAATGTAAACCATACCACGCAGACTCCTTCCACATATGTGAGGGCAGGATCTGTCTCAATTTCATACTGTAGTACTGTTTCTGTTCCATTGACAACCTGCTCAGTTTTATTTATAATAGTATTGAAAGCCTCATGTGTTTCCAGGCAAAAGGTTGTGATTGAAACTAGGATGAAGAACAAAGAGGCAAAGGCAATGAACTGAAAGAAAAAGAGAAAAAAGAGACGTCAGAACCACACAGCGCTTCACATTAATAATATCAGTAGATCAGTGGTCATTATAAATCTTTTACTGATTTATCCCCAAACTGATTCACAAATTCATAGGCATAAAACTTTGCATCCAAGACAGATAAACTGTCAGACAGCTCTCACATGTTGTTCAGGAGTCTGGGAGCAGGGAAAGTCTTGGTTATGGACAATATGCCAGGGTGAAACTCTTCCAAAAAGTGGCAAAAAATGTTAAATCCAAATGCTAAATCATATGAATTCTACCAGTTGTCATGGCACCTTATGAACAGTTCAGTGTCATCTGCAAACTTAGGATATTCAAGTCTTATATCCAAGTCATTGATGAAAACATTGAAGAGAACTGGCCCTAAAATGGAGCCCTGGGGAATGCCACTAATTCCCAATGTGACCCCATTTACTCTAAACCTTTGAACTTTACCCATCAGCCAACTGTTCACCCATTGTGTTATGCCTTTATCTAGCTATATGCTGTGAGAAACAATAACAGAGGTTTTGCTGATATCCAAAAAGATTGCCGGCTTCCATTTAACTGGGACCTCCAGATTCCCAAGACCTTTGAAAAATAACTGATACTCACTGGTAGAAAATGCCTTCTGCATTACAGGTAGAGCAGGTTTCACAGCCTGTTTAGTTCACAGTCATCCATCATACTCTCTCAGGCAGGACTAAAAGTAACCCTAACAAAGCTGTCTCCACTTCCAACAAAACTTTCTTAGCAAAACAGCAATATATCTACTTTTAACAAATTCTGTGAAATCAAGTCCTGTGCCCCAACCAGCCTTCACCCACTGCCTGGTTTATCAGAAGCAAAGCTTTGGGGAACACAAAGACTAAAGCAGTTTGGATGGGGTCTTGCCACATTGCCTCAATGGGCACTTGGTGAGCACAGCATGCACAGATGTTTCAGAAATAAGAAGAGCCTCTCTCATTGCTACGGCAGTGTATTATCAGTCCTCTACCTAAATCCTGATATTGAAATTACAAATCCAGGACAAGCTGAACAAATATGGAAACAGAAATTCAGTTTTAGTAGCAGCACATGAACATAAAATGCAGATAAATAACCTGAAGACTGCTCTCACACAGGATTGTTAAGGACTTAAAAACCAGGTACTACCCAGTCATCATAGTCAGGCATTGAAGAAAACTACTTCCAGGACAAGATTTCATAGGAAAACAGCTGGAAGGTGAGATAAACATTCTTTCACACAGTAAAATGTGCTGTTTGTACTCCAGCAGCAATGGCATGGTAGTTGAATAGGCAATTTGTTTAAATGTCTCCTCTCTACTGTCAAAATGCTTGCTATTCTGGATTTTCCACTTAGCAGATAGTTTATAGACAGGAAAAATAAATAAATAAAAAAAAATTATTGGAAGATTTCAATATTTTCAGAGATGAAATGATGTCAAAACAGGTTTCATGCTCTCTACTATCAGCCTACAGGAAAGAGCAGCTTAGAGCATGAGTTCAATGATGGTGGCAAAAGAAACTGTGGCAGCAGGATACTGGTATGTTACCACACTGATATCATGAATCCCATTTAATAAATAAATAAATTGTTATGTCGGAGTCAGAACAACAGCCACAAACAAGAATGTCTCCATTCTGGCACTTTAGTCCAGGCCACAACATTGTGGTAAAACCGCTTTTGAGTATTCGGGTATCAATCACTGAATTTAGCAGTTAGCACATACATTTTACACTGTGTGATAGAAGAATTCCTTTAGGCTGGTACAACACTGAATGGCTACATTTTTCTAACACAGAATGCTAGTTAGACATCAAAATGTCTCTACAACAGGTAGATAGAATTGCTTTGATTCTGAGAAACAAGTTCAAATTTGCAATGCAGGCCTGGTAAATTTATTATATTCAGAGTGACAAGATATATCTACCCCAACCCCACAGACCTAATGCATCTATATCAGAGATTTGCAGCTTGTTTATGGCTTCCCTTCCTCAATCAATGAAACAAGATTATTATACCAAGCCTCTCAATTGCAAACACTCTAATCTGTTCTCTGTCAAAAAGGTCTGACTCAGGGACTGAACTGAACACTTATCATTCGGTCTCAACTTCTAATCACAAACTAACCAACAATCTTACACTGTCTGGCTGTTTTTTACCAGGCAGACATTTCTGCCTTTGCCTGAACTACAAAATTTCTGCACATTCATAGCTCATTTCTTCCTGGCACCTGACACGCACACACACACACACGTCTTATGTGAGACAGCTAAAGTCAGCAAATACAACCAGATTTATGTAACTTAAGTGAATTAATCTCAGTAGTTATTTGCAAAACCTCTCCATAACAGGGACAGAATTTATCAGACTCTAAGCCAGTGGTGCACTAAGATCTACAGGGTTATTCCCTTGGGATGCTACTTCAGCATCCTCCAGCATCTTTCTACCCAGCAGCAGGATACAAAGCAAATGAATCTGTAGAGTTTGAGGGTCACTGAAGCTAAGTCAGTGTTGTAGTTTGCAGTTTGGGTGGGGATTTTCAATAGATAAAATACCTCTTATAGCAGCAACACTTTGGTGACTTCAGGAAGCTAGGAATGTTTTTTGTCTAGAAAGAACTGAAAATTACATTCAGCCTAGCAAAATTCAAATATATTACCAAATCAGATATAATAAATATTAAATGTACATTCAGCAGTACACTGAATCTAGCAGTAGGTGAATAATTAGCATCTATTTCTAGGCTATATATCAGAAAAAGAGTCCTCTCTGGTTCAGATTCTTTCTTAAAAGTTCCCAAAAGCAAGGAATTAACTACAGGTAGAACTGCCTGACAACCTATTTATTACTGTTTTGAACAACATTGACACAGTGAAAGGCCACAGCACACTTGGCACTTGGCAAGGCAGCTACGAATTTTTAACTGTAAAATTACATTCAGTGATGTAATTTAGGGCTAATTACATTAACCCTAAAAGAAAAATACTTTCAGTCATTTTCAAGATCAGCTGGGTAGTCTATCCTGTTTCCCTAGAGGCAATCATCTTTATGAAGTTATAAGAAAGGCAAGAACAAATTAATACATGTCTTAATCTAGTGGCAGATTTCTTGATAATCTCACACCTTCCATTCACAGCAATGTAAAGCAATTTAACCATGTACACATTTAGCCATGTACATGTACACAAGAGCATATACATCTGATTTTGAGCAAAGACACTAATTTCTTTTTGCTATACATTGTATCTCTTTCTGTGGTTTGTTTTGAAATATAAATGCCTTGGATCTGGACATTTTGGGCAGATCTTGCAGAGCACCTAGCACAATAAAACCACATACACAAGAAGACACTTCTACACTATTATTGCAGTAGTCAAAAGGGCTCAGAGAAAAAGAAAATGGTGGCCAATGTAAGGAGGAACCTTTACTCAGTGAAAGAAAAGATCTTAGGCATTTACTTTACATTAATTAACGATATTTTCTCAATATTGTATTATGTAACATTAGGCAAAATGTTGAAAAGAATCTGTCATGTTTTCTACAGATAGAAATAAAGTCATGCAGAATTCTCACTTTCAGTTATTCTTCTGCATCTTCCTAGTTCCATGTTCTCTCATTTTGAAGGCACCGAGACACTAAAAACACATCTATTTTTGTTCATGTGGATAAGCATGATGTTCCAGAGAAAACTGGTACACCTTCAAACTTCCAGTTTCTCTGTTGGATGGGATCAACCAGGTTCTGTTCCTAAGTCCTCCTAATGTCCAAAACAATTACAGGGTACCACACAACTTTTTTTTCCCCTGAGGAACAACAATTTTGTAGATGAGATAATGGTGGTAAAGACACTTCACGGCCACCAAAAACAGTCTTTTTCTAAATTATTTGAATTAACAAAATGTTTGTTGTATGTAGGCCAGAAGAGAGCAATTAAAAGCAAAATGAAAATATTCAGTATGTAATACAAAACAAACAGAACATTCTTCATTAAGCAGTTAAAGCTCTCAGTAGGTTGCTGATTCCCTCTGCTCGAGTTTTGAAGGCAATGTGCACCCAATTTTGTTAATGTGTGTTTGCATCACATTTCAGACAAGTCTGGTGCAGATTCTGGATTCCCAGCTTCTTTAATTGATAGGATCACAAGTCAAGCTCTGCTACTGAGTCCTACTACTGTTCACAGTAGCTGGATTAATCATCTACTATTTGTTTTTTGATGAAGCATATAAATCCAAAGCAAGTGGCAGATACCTGTAGATAACATGTTGGAGGTAGATAACCATGATTCCTGTTTTGTATTGAGTGTCCCGTGTGGAACTGAGCTGCTCAGAGTTTAAAACAATTTCATAAATGACAACCATTTCTAGGAATGCAGTCTGTGGATTATGAGAACTTCTGTGCATTCAATTACACGTTTTATCTTACACACTTGAACTCCTGAAGTTCTTCAAAGAAAGTAGAGTCACCTTAAAAACCTTGGCTGCAAATGGTCTGACAACAGTCCTGTAGGCCATGTCTGGATTTCATGATAGGAAAAGGTGCCCTGTCAGAGGATGTCATGGCCCAGGTCACCTGCCTGTTTCCTTTCCAATGCAAACCCAGACATAGGAGTGTTGCACACCTCAGTATGACTCTGTGATGGAGTTGGCACCTGGTATCAGTCATTCTAAGGTTTATCAGCTTAGACAATGCCTAAATAAACCAACGGCAGATGTAGAAATTGTTCCTTGTACTCGGGTATGTTATTCATATTCATAAAATCTGACACATTCACTACCCCATATTTCGTCCATCCCCTTCAACCCATAAAACCAACTGTTTCTACACATTATTTAAGTATTCCACAATGGACAGGTAACAGTTAGTGATGAGGTTAATGCATAGGTAATTGTTGGTAGTCACGGTTGCTGTTACTTCCTGTTTTGTAAGTTTTGAATAAAATCTCTACATTTCAGTATTTTCCCAGAAAGAGTCTATGCTATC